GCACATACCATGTTCAGGTGCAGCCAACAATAAAATTAGTTGTTGATTGTGGCATTTAAAATGTAGGCTTAGCCTTTTTTCCTCAAGTGTAAATGCTATAGGCACTTGAAAAGAAGACCCAGACAGAAAAGTATCTGGAATACAAACTGTAAGACAGTTACATGAGTGAAATTCTGTACTGCATTACTAGGTATGGAATGACATATAAAACCCCCTTGTATTCAGATGTCTTTTATGTATCTGTCCAACTACAGGTACGCAAGTATGCTGAAGACGTAGTTCTAAACAACTTGATTATGCACAGTTGAAAAATAATAGCTTTTCCTAGAAAGCACCCTTTCTACTCACAAAATGATTGAGGCTCTTAGATAACCATCAAAAAACATTGTGTACTGAACAGGAATTACTATATACACATACTAAAGCAGAGACAATTAATAAGAAAACTAAATACCCACCCAATCACTGGATGTTTGAAACCAAGTTTCCTTGTGGCTTCCTCTATTTCTTTCTCTAACCAAGGCTGCGGACGAATCAAGTATTTCACAAACTGCGAGACCCACCACACTGCAGGGTCCCCATGTACACGAATCAGCCTGTCAGCCAGGTCTTCGGGAATCGCCAACGGTAAATAAGGTGGCCGTGGGTGTAAGCTGTCAACAATGGGAAGTTCCACCACCTGAACATCCTTATCATTAGCCTCACCTGTTTTAAAATACATACTAGGATGAGTCAAGAAGTTTACTTAATTGATAAGCTTTACCATTGGCAAGTAACATCTTAAACGTATCAGCTAAACTGTATCTTCAGTTTCAAAAAGACTACCTAGCCCTTGCTCTACTTTTTCAAAATACCATTAAAAAATAATAAAAATAATAGTTTTAGACTGCATTATGTATGAAATATATCTAATAGTCCACCTCAATAGGACAAAGTTGAAGGTCCTTGAATTATTAGCATCTGGTAGTTAAAAAAATATTAAGTGTTCCTGTTTATATATTCATACCTTTGCATATAAAACTACACCATTACTGGGTTCTAAGCCTTAGTTGCACAGACTTGCTATCTAAAATGCTTAAAATTGAGTTGCTTTTTTAAAAATAAAGAAATATTTTAAGACACATGAAATTATTAAAAAAATAACCATACAGCCCTGGTACTCTTTCGAATACATTTTATTGCAGTAAACCTCCGCATTTCAGACATCACTAGAACCACTGAATTAGTCAATCTACTAACAGAAGGGGAGAAAGGACAGAGAGACTACTCCTGCCTTGAAGAAATTAAACTATGAAGGTAAGTACCAAATTAAGTAGCTCAAGGAAAACATCCAAAAACTATACAAGCATGTAAAATAGAGGTAAGAATTTGTTATCATTTAAATACTAACTGTTGAATATAAACTACATATAATATAAATAAGGTTGAATATACAGATGTTTTTGATGGGACTTTCATTCAAGGCTCCACTAATTTTAAAGAGTTTTTACAAATCATGTGAACATAAGTGTCTAGATAACTGATAAATCAATGTATTTCCATATACTGAAATAATACATGACAACATAATAGAAAGCACTATGTTTTTCAAACATGGAACATTTTGGGTAAGATTTCTAGTATGTTCATAGACTCCAAAAGAATACTTTCATTGTCTGTAGGGTTTATTGGAAAATACGGTTAGTTCTCTGTTTAGAGCTCTACCAGCCAGGAAAGAAAACTATTTTAAATATAAGCAACCCAAGCTCAAGTAACTTTATGACCAAGTTAGAGAAATGGCTGAAAAAAAAGATCAATTTAGTGCAAGGATAATGAGTCTTATTTTAAGAACAGTTAAAAATACCTACGGTTAGAACACTTTTGCATGCACTAAAAATAATTTCAGTTGATTTGTGACAAAGTCCTAGAAATATGACAACTGCATGATTAAGTCATACATTGCCAGAATGCTACATTAACACCATTGAGCTTACCAAAAGGAGTCAAAATTCAGCAGTAACTCTGAGATATGGTCATTTAAATAAGGAATGTTTGTTACAATCAGCTACATTTTTCAATTAATTTTTAATAAATTCGGGAAATCTGTCTTCATAGATGTATCCATATGCTAAGATTTTATCAATGTACTGTATAACACCAGTATAAAGGGATCTTTTAGACGAATTCCCCATAGAATATGTACTGCAGGTATGGACAATACTTTTTAACTCAAGAAGCCAATTCATATGTTTACCATCTTTTATATCACACTTACAGGACAAGATTTAGTAAAAGTTTATACATTTAGTAAAAAAAAAAAAAGAACATTGTTTTTTTCTTATAATAAGATGGATAATGTCCATCAGTATGTCTTCAGAAAGATGCAAAAAAGAAAAGCATCCTGAGGCCTGGACAATGCTAAATCTAGTGGAGAGGTGAAGTATTAGAAGTCTAGACAAGAAATGTTTACCTTAGGAACGGTATGAAAGAATGCTTGAGGATCCACCCTTC